AAAGCACCATTTTGAATGCATTTGTCTTCAGCATCGCGATTGCTACCAGTAGCTGCCAACAACTCAGACGCGCCTCGTGCGGTGGAAACGAGATGATTCACTTCAGCAAACTGATGCCCAAACAAGTCTAGACTAATCCGGATGCAAACACAGAGCTTCTAAGATCTTCACAGCTTTAAACCAAATTCTGCGCCCATCATTAGACTGAGCGCTGCTAACATCTAACAATGCCCCAATAATAGACATTGAGGGCGAACCGTGAGAAGGCACGCTTAAGTGACAGCTGCGCGTTTTCCGCTCTTTTGCGTTTCTTGAAAAGTGTAACTTGTTTGGTAAGAGATACAGAGGAATACCAAAGTTTTTGAAATTCTGTGATATATGAACTGGATCCTAGATCATCTGTGGATCTGAACTATGTAGCCCAAAACTGCATATGAAGAGAGCATGCAACTTGCAGCTTGCATGTCCTTATTGCATTCGCCACTTGCGAACTGCCCCATTAACACATTAGTACATAGCATTTATTTACCGAGGAATTCATCTGGTGCATTAGGCATGGTAAAATCATGACTGAATAGTGATGTTTATTACAGGACACTTTGAGTCTCGAGCGTACCATTAAAGCACCCCGACGCCAGACTAGCAGCCTGCTTGACTTGGCGACGAATGATGTGACCTAAATTCAGCCATGTTTCAATTCCTAAAGCTCTCGTCTACTCATGATCCACTAACTCAGTGTGCTGATCTGCTGGGAGACGTTAAATCGCTCTGACGTTTTGGCCACGAAGGCGAGAGAGAAATAAGATACGATGTCGTCTAGCAATGTACCCATCTTTTTTCCACTGGTTTAACCTGCCCAATACTATGGCTTTGACTTGAGAAGGTCAGCAGCTTTCAGTTTTGAAGCCCCTCAGTAACTGTTCAAGACACTTTGTGTAAAGAAGTCGAAATTTAGACCATCCCTACGCTAGGTTACAATCATGTCAGAGTGTTCACCGACGGTATAGCACTGCGATTTCTTAGCGTATTTATGTTCATGTTGATACAAAAGTTGTAGCATTCCCATGAGTTTAATATTAGCCTAATATTAAAGTGAAATTATTCCAGATCGCATCGCAGCGACGTCATCAATTGTCCTGGTGTAGCAATATTTTTCCTGAAATTTTTATGGTTGCGCATGTGGTACTGGGATGTCCTCAGATTAGTTTTACAGTTTGCTTCCTGAATGTGTTTGTTTCCTGAAATTTCCTGTTGATGAATTGTAACTGCAGCTTGCTGGTCATTCGTGCTACTGTACAAAAGGCTCATCATCCTAAATCAATCAATCTAAAAAAATTTGGTAGCTGCCGATCGAAGACACCACACATTAGAGTTGTTCTATCGATGTGAACAGCCTACAAATATTTTCCCCTAAAGCTTCTCAGGTTTTTGAGCTTGGGTGGAGCCTTTATTTGACCTCTTGACTTTACCGCATCCCAGAGGTACCCGTGGCACATAACCGGCGCTTGACACGCGCTCGGGTGACCGTTTAAGTAACAAAGGGAGCTAGAAACGTCAAATTCACAGGGTGGGTTGGTCTAGATGTGAACTCATTTTGCAAAATTTTGGGGTTCATAGATCATGAAATTATGGTCAAATAAAGTCAAGCCGGGTCAAACTCAAGATGGGTATCTAAAGCTCTTCTAGAACTCCTCACGCAACCGCTTTGAATCTAGATACTTGTTCCAAGCCAAAGTTCATTGGTGTTTATTTTAGGTCAGATTCCTCCAGCCGTCACCAATTTACAGTCTTTTTTGGCCTTAAGAAGGTCACGTGACCGAAAAGCCGCAAAGGTATTTTTATCCTTTGATTTGAACAAGCATTGAGGATTCCGCTAAGTGGTACATTCCTGAAAACGAACGGTTGATTTGGATCATTTTAAGTCAGTGAACTACTCTGGCCTTTAAAAAGTTCATGAAATATTCTATTACGGCTTCTGTTATTAACAAATTCAAAAAGGGCATCAAAATCTACCCCTTATACCAAGCTTTCCAGTAAAAAGCTGGCTGGCCTTGGCCTCGACCTGACTTCTGTACCTTACATCATTTATTTTTGTGATCTTAAATTAAATCGTCTTGTTACTTATGAAACTATCATTGCCTAACGCTCCGTTCTCGTATCAGGCTGAACACTTCCCTAGAAATTGTCTCCGCTGACAGCCACGGCCCCATTTTGACCTGCCATAGGTCAGCGACGTCATAAGCTGTATCGGATTTTTTAACCAAAAGTTGTGCTTTTGATTTCCCACAGCAACTGAAAAGCGAACCAAAAGATCCGCTTTTCAATTACCCATAGCTATGAAAAGTTCGGCGGTACTATGTCGTGCCTTCCGAAAATCCCACACCAGGCGTGACTTATGGCGGTAGCTGTGAGGTTGGTATTATCTGAATATTTTGAAATCGATGCGAATATACCGCTTAAATATCTACTTCATTTCAACGTAAAATCGTGCTGAGCTCTCACCCTCTCTCTTTTTCTCTGTCTCCCTCTCTTCCCCCCCCCCCCCTCTCTCTCTCTCTCTATCTCTCTCTCTCTCTCTCTCTCTCTCTCTCTCTCTCTCTCTCTCTCTCTCTCTCTCTCTCTCTCTCTCTCTCTCTCTCTCTCTCTCTCTCTCTCTCTCTCTCTCTCTCTCTCTCTCTCTCTCTCTCCTCTCCTCCCCTTTGTCTAACCATGAAGGATATGCATTGCCTATCTTTTGAGCACCGGAGCTGATCCTGACTGTTCGAACCATGCGCTTATGTCCCCGAGCATTGTTTGGCTTTACATGCAAATGCGTCTGCAGCATGTCAAGCAAGGCTATGCACACCCCACGAGTGCATTTCCAGGAAAAGTGCAGTGGTTTCGGTACGAAGAATGGCCAAGCTTTCATGGATGTTTAAGTAAATGTGCAGACGCTAAGACGCTTGAGAACAATGTGCTGAACTATGACGAGAACGTAGACGGCGAGATTGCGAGCCCACCTGAAAGGTCTGCTGACATCAGCGCCGGGCCCGGCTCCGTGGCTCTGTCACCGATCGATTGCGGCTTGCGAGCCCCGTTTGTCATCTTGTCGTGGCGCGTGACGAGGACAGACCGTGCGTGACGTCACGGGACGTCAGGATTAGGTGCTATAATGCACGAGGGCGCTGAGAAAAGGGCCGCTTTGATTTATTTTAAGACCGGCAGATGTCAATGGGAAAGTGGCTCCAGGACTAACGACCATCAACCGCTAAGCGCCGGTTTATAGCATTGCGTGAGGTCCGCACGAATGGCGATGAGCTCAGTCTGGGTAAGTTTCTCAAGCTACGATTTCAGTGCAGTGTGCGTTTACTCCTATGACAGTAAATGTGCGTGACTATAGTCATTTTCTTTCTTAGAATGCAGTGAAACTAACAATGATGCACTTGCCCATCTAGGCCTGATTTTCTGATTGGATTAGCAGGTGATCGCTCATAAATACCAGGCTTCCAATGTTTCTCGGTCACTTTCACCGAAAATGCCGAAAAAACTAAACGAAAGATAGTTGTGCAACAGATTGGAAATCACCACATTCAGTCAGCTTGGGAGCCAGCCGTGGAAGCCATTTATTCTGTCAACTACAGCTTTGTTGCATGGAGTCATCGGTGATTTGTAATTGGCTTAACAGACAGCGATGAAATGCAATGCAGGGGTGACTCGAAGATCACAGGCGTCATTGGGCGTGGCTTGTGGCGAAGATCTTGGCCATAGCACACCATACCATGCCCCGAGATCAGCCTCACCTGAGCCGACAGTTTTGGCTGAACGATTCGCACGCACCATCCGATCCCCTCGCTGCCTGTTGCCGGTTACTGCCCCTGAAGGCCCGAACGGCGGAGCTCCGTTTCTGGGAAGCGAGGCCACAGCCTGCCACCGCAGTGGTCAGGTGCCCTGCTCTCCTCCGGCCGAGCTGCTGCCGAGCTGCCGGTCACAGCTGGCCTGTCCGTTAACTCACGATTTCTTTGCGCGCAAGCTCAGTCATTCTCGCCGGCAGTCTCCCGCGAATTGGAGCCGTCAAAACAAGATTTGGGTGTATTATCCCGTGTGAGAGGCTCATTTTTATCCTCGTTAACCACGGGTGAGGATCTGATGAATGGCTGGTTTACTATCTTTAATCAAATTGTTCCGTCGCCGTGGTGCAAAAGTCATTCGTTCTCGTTCTCTGACACCTTCAGAGCTGCGGTGTTAGTCCTTCGATGTGGCCCCTAGATAGGCGGAACAAAGGAATTGCAGCAGCCAGTCTTGTATTCTCTCTGGTCGCATGAAGACCTAATCCCCCCAAAAATATGGGCCGCAGACTTAGCCGTCATTGGGCAGACACATCTGCACCGCGTCACGGGTTCGGCATTGTAATTGCTTCATAAATCACGAAATCGGTTAGTTCGTCGCCGAGCGTAAATTGGAGATGCTGCTCCTCGTTATCACCGGAGTGATGTCAGCATGCGGCATTTCCACAGCCTGCTGCCAGATAGGCGGGGCGAGCACAGAAGGGTCCATGCGCCCTCCCACCCCCCGCTCCAAACCACCTCCCATCGTAGCACGTCAGCCACGTCACACATGAATGTCACCTGTCACTTGACACCTGTTATGTCACTTGACTTGACCTCGGTGAGCGTGGTTAGAAAGCCGGCGTGGTGGCGACCTGCGGTTGTTCGCCCCAAATCCCCCGCGACCAGCCCGCCGGCGTAGTGCTCCGTGCCGGCCCTGCCCCGGTCGACACTCTGCCTGCTCACCCGGCCGCTGTGCTCAGCGGCATACCGGCCGGCACACAGGATGTGTCGGCCGCAAACAGCGGCAAGCAAACGGCGCGCGCCGCGCCACTTTCGCCGCGGCGGCGACGAGCGGCGCGGAGGCGCGCCTCGCCGCCGGCTTCCGGCTGTCAGGTGTGCCGGCGGCGGCGGCGGCGGCGGCAGCGGCGGCGGCGGTGGCGGCGGCCAGTGTCCGGCTGGCGGCGCGCGGGACCGCACAGCGCCGCACCGAGGCCGGCCGGCTGTGCCCGCCCGCCTCGCCGGCCATGCCAGCATGAGGGCCCGCCTGGTAGCGCTGCAGCTGGTGCGCCTCTTCATCATCGTGGTCTGCCTGACGCTGATGGTGCCGGCGGACGGCTTCTGGTGGTGAGTGCCAGGCAGGACCGGGTCGCGCGCGGCGCGGCGCCGCCGGGTTCGCGGTCCGGTCCTCCGGGCAGGCGGAGGCTGTCGAGAGGTCGGGTGTCCGCCGCGGCCTGTAGCCGAGATCCCGGACTCGCCCGTTTGTTGAGAGCAGGTGATACACGCACGGTACCCTGCGCACCAATTGCGTGTGTGAGTGTGAGCTGTGAACGTGTTCAATTGTCTCAGGCATGAGGAGACATGCGGGATGCTTGGCTTTGGGACATTCAAGAGTCCTTATCCGTTCGTTCTGGCATCGCGCAGGCGGAGGCCGGTTTGGATGGCTGGGATTTACACAGAATTGCCCAGGTCGAGTCGCTGCGGAGCCCACTGTTTCCATGACAACCGCTGCGGTGGCTTTGTGTCAATGGGTCACGGATCTGTGAGCCCGTGTAAACTTGCTCCCATCTTTACTGTTACCAAGCCGATCAACACGGGCCCCAGGGAGCCCCGCCTCTTAGTGGTAAGACCAATTATTCCTACAGGTGTTCAGAAGACATTCATCACAAGATAAGCCGCCGAGAGCATTGAACACTGTTTTGTGGCGTGTAATCCCACCCAGAGACACGCTGGTAGGCTGCTTCCCTACGGCGCTTCCACACCTGGCGGCTAAGCTGCAGCCCAAAATGTGAATCCCTGCTTTCCTGACGCTCCAGATCTGCTGCAACACTGACACTGCGCACCACATCGCTGCATTCGAACACATATAAGGGGCGTCATGAAACTGCATGGCACCCATCCGCGACCAGATCTCATCGGTCAACGTGCATCGCAGGAAGGCGCGAAGGTGCGCACTCCCGTGGGCTTCGCTGGCAGGAGGATCGCTTTTTGCTGCTGCGCTCCGACCAGTCATACTGTGATTACGTCGGGCACCGCTTCTGCGAATGGCGGGTGGTTTTTAATCTAATTTCCGGCTGACAGTGGAGTCGGCGGCGTTTCCGTCATAAATCTGGCGATTGCATGTCTTAATCATCCGGCCCGTCCAGTGGGCCCTACAGAGCCCAGCGGCTCCAATTAAGCCTCGCTTTACGGTGGGTGGGCTCTGGTAGCGTTGGGCACAGGGGCGTGCCCACGGACCATCTAAAGGGGGAGCAATATTTTAATTCAAGCTCGAAAAGCTCAGCTGTTGGGCGAAATCTGTGCGGTTGCCATGTGACACCGACGGAAACAATTGGTTTTGCTCTGTGCAGATTACACGAAATCGTCGTTCCACTCCCGGACTGCCGATAAACTTCCTGGATGATGAGACACACACTGACATCCACACAAACGTGAAGACGACCGGCAAACCTTGAGTTCACGAACTAATGAGCGATCAGAAATGCGCAGGAGTCCAAGAAATTCTTTATGGCAGTGCAAGGGCAGCGATTTATAGAGACATTACGTCAAACGTGACGGCGAATAGAGAGATTGGCGGCCAAACGCGAATGAAATATATCCATACAATGCTCAGAGAAAGATGGTGGCAACGGAATAACCGACGGTTAGGCGTTTCGTGTGGGCGCTTCAACCCAACTGTGGTTAATTATTTGAGTGATAGAGGCAATATTCTAGACGTAAAGCAATATAAATACAAGTTAAGTACATTCACCAAAGCACCGTCGCACATCGGCGCGCGTACTAAGGATGCGCCTGGAGACCAGCTAACCAGCTAACCTTTTCCGCGCTAACCAGCCTTTACCAGTGAAGCGGCTTTTTGTTGGACCTTTAAATCGGCGTTTGCATGTGATTGAGCGACATACCTGTTATCTGCCCTATATTACTGCAATTGGAGCTACCAGCAACCGAGCACGCTTGAACCGAAATGTTTGGGAAAGTAGACTGAATTTCCGCAGAATATTATACGACCCGGAAACGTTTAAAGCTTGCAAAAATCGTTTGATCATTCTCGACCTTGCTTACATATTTGGTTATCAAATGGCACACTTCCAAAATATGCCATGTTACGAAAACGTTTGAAACATGCCTCCAACAACGACCAACGCCAAACTCTGACACATATCACAGGAACGGAGCGTCAGTTTCGCGACTGTCGGTCAGTCTCATTCGCGCGCCGGTATCGCCTCGTCCGGCAGCGTCGGCCGACCGCCGCTGCACGTCGGTCGGCCGCGACCGCCGCTGGGCCGGCCAGCGTACCTCCACGCCGCTGTGACGCGTGTCACGGCGGCCGGTCACGCCTCACGCCGGTCACGCCTCACTCCCGTGACGCCATCCGGTCCGACATCAAAGGTGGCGCCCCGGCCGACGGCGGCAGACGGCTCGACGGGTCATTGCGGGAGGATGCTGCGGAGCGGAGCTCAGAGAGGGAGGAGGGCTGCAGAACGGAGTTCAGAGCTGGAGGACGGCTGCGGAGCAGAGCTCAGAGGGCGGGAGGGCTGCCGAGTGGAGGAGTGCCACGGGAGGACGGCTGCAGAGCGAATTCAGCGGGGAAGGAGGGCTGCAGAGCGGTGTTCGGCGGGGAAGGAGGGCTGCAGAACGGTGTTCAGCAGGGAAGGAGAGCTGCAGAGCGGTGTTCAGCGGGGAAGGAGGGCTGCAGAGTGGTGTTCAGCGGAGAAGGAGGGCTGCAGAGCGGATTCAGCGGGGAAAGAGGGCTGCAGAGCGGTGTTCAGCGGGGAAGGAGGGCTGCAGAGCGGTGTTCGGCGCGGGAGAACAGCTGTGGATCGGAGTTCGAGCGGAATTAGAGCGCTGAAGCGGTGTTCGGCGTGGGAGGAGGGCTGTGGGGTACCGGGGCTTCACGTGGAAGGGCTGTGGGCGGTTATTGGTGCGGGACTCTGCTGACGGGGTGACGACTTTTTGTGGGGTAAGGTCGTGGCCCATTCGCTGGCCGCTCCAAGACCTCTTTGTCAGTCGATTACCGTGCGGGACATTTTCCATTACAAGAAAAGAGATATGTGCCCCTTTTAAGATCGAATTCAGTAACTGTGTTACAAAAGTATCGTCTTAGTTTCCGTTTCTGTCTTCCATGTGTCGTGATAGGCCTCTGCATTCGTGATAGGGCCTCGGACTGAGGTCTTTCGGCACATAGAGGGAAGGAGTGGGTATGATAACTTATTTCAAGAACAGCAGCAGCTCAGTAGCTTTTCTATATAATCGTACCAAAATCAGGACAGGGTAATGTGTACACAGTAACGGGATGTTTAATACGACCCCAAGGAGATGCGGAGATGCGCAGAGAGATTCCTGCAAAATGAAGGCAATGGTCCGATAGGCCATATTTGACTAGATTTGCTGGCCCAATGCATTTTTTTTTTCATGGAGCGGGTGACGCTGTTTTCTTTAAATGTGATACAAATGTATCATTGCCCATCCGACTGATAAGGTTATCTGACATGCTCCAACCGGGTTTCCCGCTGACAATGGCAGCATTTTACTGGAACCGAATGGAATGGAAGGGCCTTCATGGTTGCACCACAATTACACGGCCATAGCTTTCTGGACGTGAAATACAGCCTGGGATAATTACAGTAAAGAGTCAGGCATGAATGTTTATTTCATTCCCAATCGTACTAATGCATATTAGAAGGAAATGCATTCCTGTGGCCAACTCACTGAAGTCGTTGTTTCTAGGTAGATGAAGATGTCAAGCCCAGTTGCTAGAACAGCTGGTTTCCCGACTTGTAAAGGCTTCTCATGTCTTTTCAGGTGGTCCGACGGTCGCATTAGCATACCGGACAGATGATACAGCGTTCTCGCTTCCCTTTCACGGAATATTAAAAGAGAAAGACTGAGAAATGCAGCGACGGTCAGTGTTTATGTCTACCTCTGCCACTCCAGCGCAATTAATCATTCAACCAAACCATCCTCAAGTGACAGTAAAACCTGTTCTTGGTAAGGACTACATCACCGCGCATTTCATATGCTGCCTGTCATCACAAATTCCTGAGGCTGAATATCTTTGTCTTTTCCGATGCCATCGGTATCCTCTTTCACACAGTCATCAGAAAGACGCCTCACATTTACATTGCCGCGTGTATATTGCTGCACCTTAACGGCATGGGGGGAAGAAATATGCCATGTGCAGTATCACTGCCTTATATTAAAAAAGATACGTAATGTTTTAAAACCCATTGGAACCATTCAAAACTATCGGGTGATGAAGACAGGCCAGACCGTCTAGCCGTTGATATCAAAAGCAAAGAAGCCTCCATGCGTTGTCAACATCAGGAGTGGCGGATGGACCGTGTTTGCTCTGAATCGCAGGGCAACACGAGGGCCAGGCGTGATTGACACGAGGGTGGCACGTTGCCCGTGGCTGTTAGTGCTGGAGCAGCTGACGTGCGACGTATTACGTGTGACGTGAACAAACTGTGGCCGATGTGGGCCCGACATTTGGCTGCAGCTCGTGGTGCTGACTCCGGTGGCAGCACGCCCGCCATTGTTGGTCTGTGAACCTGTCACGACCGCACATAATTTGCAATACACGTGTGCATCACAGAGACGCGTCAGGAAGAATGATAACTCCAGAAGCACTTGCTCACATTTACATCTGTTTTTGGCATTGCCTTATGAAATGAATTGACAGAAATCGTCGACAATCACTTCAACCCGTTCCTTTTCCGGGAGCAAACGCGACGTTTTCTCGTCGTTTGGAGGGCTGGGGTTTGGCTAAACAAGCTCACCCTGTTCACTTATTCCACAAGAAAGACATCCGCATGTGAGAGGCACCATTTTAAATTGTAGACAGACTGTGACTGTGACTGTGAACTGAAAACTGGAGTCTGTGATTGTAAACTGACACTATAGACGACTGTCCATGCAGGCCAGTCCCCTTCGAGCGGAGGCCGCCTGGTTCCGTTCAGCGCGCGTGGCCCCGGTGTCAGGCTTCTTATCCGAGGTGATCGAGAGCCCATGTCACCGAAGCTCTGCTACCACCGTAAAACCGCCTCCACGAACGTGCAGGCTACCAGGATTTATCACCCGTTCGTTTTTAATTAGCTCGTGGTCAGCCGGGAGTCTGGCCATTCATG